TCAAATAACTCCAAAAAAAAGACTGCAAAACCCGGTGGGTTTTTTCCCCCCCCCCCCCCCCCCAAAAGATGAAACCTAAAGATGTAAGCTTTAGGTTTCTAAAGCTTACATCTGCTTGAATTCTTGTTTCCTCTTTCTGTGAATCTCTCCTATCAGCATGGAGGGCTCAGTTGTGCGGTTGCCTGAAATCATCGCCCTGAAGAAGAAGTATAAAGCCTATTTGTACCTGGATGAAGCCCACAGCATTGGCGCGGTGGGGCCTTCGGGGAGGGGAGTCACCGAGCTGTTTAATGTGAACCCGGCTGATGTGGACGTGATGATGGGGACGTTCACGAAGAGCTTCGGGGCAGCTGGAGGCTACATCGCAGGAAGAAAGGTTACTGTTGAGCTCTGTTCCTCCTTCCTCTGCTCGTTTCATCCCGTCCTCACCGCTTCAGCTGTTTATGGCCCACCTATGAAAACGAGAGAGCTTGGAAACGGTGCAGTAAACATGCTATTATTCACTCAAGCAGAAATTAGTCTGGTTGCTAATCCATTTGGACGCTAATAGGGTCAGGATAGATTTTACGATGCAGATGAGATTAATCACACTGAAACAATTCCAATAGCCATTGGTTCTCATTACGGGGAATCAGATAGCTTAGCCGACACTTTCTTGAATTTATTTAACACCACTAATCTGGCTTCAAACAAAGCCTGATGAAGTGATGAAGCAAGCCGTGTAAGTTATATAGAATTTTTAAGAATTATCTGCAGCAGGTATTCAAAACAGATGGGAGTGAATAATACAAACTCCATAACGACGACTTTTTTTTGTGGGCCTCATGTGTTCAACAAATGTTCAATAAGCTCCAGCTCAGGGCCTTTTTAATCCGCTTTTACTCTATTAAAAAGTACACTTTAGTACATAACCACAGTGGTTTCGAGGCTGTTGATTAGAAAGCAAGGAAACAGGCTTGTTGTTGGAATTAAGCTCTTAAAAGTGGACACTTCCTTTCCCTGCCTTATGTTAGCTCAGTCCTGCTCTGCCTTAATAAGAAGGTAAAGCTGGCAGAGGGCCAGCCCCTTCTTGTGGCACGCATCGGAACTGTGCTCCAGATTTAACAGGATGATTTTTAACAAGCATGATGATGTTTGAAGTATGAACGTGCTGCCTGGTTTGACAGCTGGCTGTTGTAAACTCTTGAAAGGGAAAAAGGCAGGAAAAGAGAGAGAAAGCATATTTGTTGTTGTGGTGAAGTGCCCCAAATCCTGTGTTAAGTGGATACGGGTTGACCAAGAAAAGGCTCTGCACATGTGTTCTGGAAAACAGTCATCTTTTAGCTGTTTTATGAGAGAACCAAAAATAAATACTCCCCAAGCTCCTTATAATTCACTTCAACAGTGTGTTTACAAAGCATTGTTCAATTACCCTTTAGGCAAAACCTGATCCGTACTCAAAAAGGAGAAGTCGCTAAATACACAGGGCTTTTTTTTTGTCACACTGAAATGGTTTAGAACATGAAATTAATTTTATTATCAGACAAATATAACACTGCATGTAGTTTTCATGAGAAAAGTCATCCAAACCAACCCTGCAACTCAGTTGTTTTAGAAAAGAACTCCCTTTCCATTCAAATCCTCATTTAGTAAATACTGCAGGGCTGAGAGCCGTTTATGTAGGGCTGCACTGTGATGCAGTTGGGTTTGTATCCCACGTTCTCATTGTACGTCCTCCTACAGTCCAAAAAGTAAATAAATGTGAGAGCAATTGATTCTCTAAATTGTTCCTAGGTGGGAGTGAGTGTGTGCATATTTGTCCTTTTTATCTCCATGTCGCCCCGTGATAAACTGGCGACCATTCCAGGGTTTACCCCGACCCTCATTCAATCACTGCTAGAGATGAATCGTTTTCTGTATTTATTCAGATCAGATACAGAATCATTTTTACCAGATACTCTTGTGAGCCTAAATTAATTGTAAAGTGTGCTGAGAAAAACGTGTTTAGAAAAATCTGTTATCTACAGAGCAATTCAGAAATGAATAAATTTCCTAAAAACATCAGATGTAAAAAGCGCACATTCTTTTAAAAGCACACCAGAATCGTATTTATTTAAACCAGGTTCCTGTATGTAATTTGTAAAATGTGATGTGTGACTAACCTTGTGCATATCGTATGTATGTTTTTGTATTTTATCACTTGGACCCCAGAGAGATTAGTAACCACTTTGGTAAAAACTAATGAGGACACTAATAAATTATAAACAAACAAATAGGCACCCGTGACCCTGCAAGGACAAGCAAGTATAGAAAATGAATGGATGTAATTCATGAAGGTCTATAATAACTAATATTAATACTCAGCAAGCATTGACTCCTCTTAGACGCGATTTTCTTCCATAACTTTTAGTAAACTGAGCTGGTAAATACAGAAATATTATATTTCCTATAAATATTAACCACGAATATTAAAATATATATTTTTTTTTATTAAGGTGGAGTTTAAAAGATAATAGAAATTACATTTATTTTATTAATAAGTGATAGATTTAGCATGACTGTGATGACTGGCTCAGTTATGGACATTGAAGTGGTTTAAAGTGGCTGAAAAGTCGCTGCACGTGCACAAAGAGCTCTGGCAATGTTCCCACTCTGTGGTTTTATGAATAAGTATGCCACACCATTACTGTGACCGCCGTGTGGCTTCGGAAACACCCCGAGTTGTCACTGCGTGCCCCCAGGCATGAGATGGATTTCAGACATGTTCTCCTAACTGGCTTATCTTGGTTGCGCTGAAATCCTGTGGGACCACAAAGCTGTGAAAATCTCCTGCCTTAAACAAAAACAGATGTCAGGTTGTTCCAGAGCTCCTATCCTTCGTTTGAATAGTTCCACTGAAATCCCCCTTCCCTCCATGTGTGTGTGTGAGGAAACCTCAGCCGCCACCGCCGCTGCCGCCCAGTGGGGACAGATGGTGGTGAGTGGAAATGGTGGCCAGACATCATCTCCGGCTGTGTGTCATCACCTCGCAGCCGCCGAGCAGGGGCCCGTCACGGCTGCAGGCCCGCACCCAACCTCTCCTCGCTCCAGGAGCCTCAACCGAATCAGTTCCCTGAAATTCTGCTTCTTCCCCTGTCAGCCACTGGCAGAATTAATCTCCTGCTGACATTTCAGAATAATGAGCCTGACAATCCTCATTCAGGCTCATTTTGTCATCGGTTCCTTCTCAGTTTGGGAGCTGGAGAGGGGGAAAGGCTCCAGAGCCGTGTTAGAGTAGGTGCCAAGTTCCTCCTAGTGACAAAGGAAGGATCTGAGGTATTTTAATCACTTTTCAGATGTTGAGTAGATTTGAGCGCTCTCTGGTGGCTAAAAGGTAGAACTACAAGCAATCTGACTCCAAAATTGAAAGTTTATGTGTGTATTTGGGACTGAGATACACACTTTTCCTAGTGCTAAAATGTGATTGCTTGTGTGCCTTTGCAGGAGCTGGTGGAGTACCTGCGCAGCCATTCTCACAGTGCAGTATACGCCTCAGCCATGTCCCCTGCAATAACAGAGCAGGTCATGCGTGCCATGAAGTGCATCATGGGAATAGACGGAACCACAGAAGGTAAGAATATGAGAGTATTAGCACTTTCTTTACCAGTGAATCATATCCACAGACCCCCAGAAGAAAGAATCAGTTCCTTACAAAAAAAAAAAGCATTCACATTTCTTGGAATTTTTCACATTTATGTTGAGACTATAAACTTTAATGTGTTTCGCTGAGGCTTTGTGTCCAAGACCAACACAGAGTAGCACATACTAAATTGGAAGGAAATGGTTTTAAAGTGTGATTTTTTTTAATTTTTTTTTATTTATTTTTTTTTTACGTCATTCTTCTTTGAAAACAGCTCAAGCTCAGACAGATTGGATGGAGAACATCTCCGAACATCAGTTGTCAGGTCTACATAAAGATTTGCAATAGGATTTAGGTTCGGACTTTGACTATAAGAAATAGGATTTTAGGCTTATAGGCCTTTCTAACATGTTAAAATATGTCACTCTAAACCATTCTGTTGTACATCTGGCTGTACATTTGGGGATATTGTCCTGCTTGGAGGTGAATCTACACCCAGTCTCAACTGTTTTACAGCCTCTAGCAGGTTTTCTTCCGGGATCACTCTGGGTTTAGCTCCCTCCACATTCCCTTTATCTCTGGTCAGCCTTCCTGTCTCTTCTGACAAACAGCACAGGTGCTGCTGCCATCACCGTGCTTTACCACGAGAATTAGGTGTGTTTAGGGTTCTGTGGTGTCAGACTTCTACATCCTAGCTCCTTCCCTTTCATATGAAAACTACAATACTTGTTTGGCTTCCCTTCAAATGTAACTTTGTTATTGTCACATTGCCATGAGGACAAAACATATAGTATGCACAACTAATAGTTGCCCTGTCAGCAGGTTATCACACTTGAACAAGTTTTCGGTTGTGCTTTGCTGTTTCTTTTTCAAATGGCTTTAAACCATGCTCCTTGAGGTGCTCAAAGCTCGGGGATATTGTTTTGTAATCTAGCCATGTTTTAAATATCTCCTCAGCTTTCTGTCTGCTGTGTTCCCTGTTCTTAATGATGCTGTTTATTATCTAATGTTCTCAAACAAACCCCTAAGACCTTCACAGAGCAGCTGGATTTAAGAATAGTGACCGCACATGCATGACAAACTTTATAGGTTTTCGTCTAAAAACATTTTAAAGCCATACTTTTCCTTCCATTTGTCAATTTTACGTTATTTTTGAGTCGGTCTGTGGTTGACAATCCTAATAAAAAACATGGAAGTTTCTTGGCTGTAACGTGGAGAATGAGTCATGTTTTTTTTTTTTTTGTTTTTTGTTTTTTGTAAGGAACTGTAAATGCAAACCTTTCATCAATATTGGTTGATATTTATTCAGCAAATCTTGGAGGGAAAGAAGAGTCTAGATGCATACGATTGTGTAATTTAGTTGTGAATTTGCATATTACCGAAAGAAAAGTATATTAGTAAAAGTTTAGCTTTTTGGGGGCCCTCGCAGCTGTCCACATGGATCTCACTTCTTCTTTTTCTCATTTGCAATTATGCGTTTTTCTGTGCAGAAAAACAGCAAGCCAGATCTGGAGGTCACTATCAGCGTTAGCATTAGGAGTTGGACCTGCAGGAAAACACTAACAGCTGCTTTGTCAGAAAATGTGGAAGCAATTACACGGGTCTGCCGTGGCAGGGAATGAGGGATCATGCAGTCTATGAGCATTTTCATTTAAGTGTTGTGATGAATTCTGAAACGTTGCTGCCTCAATTGAAATAGACACAAGAACAGGGAAGAGACTAGCTAAAGTAAGTACCTTCTGTGTAGATGTTCTCCTGAAGAGGCATTAAAAGGAAGAAACACTGACAGTAATGGTAAATGAGTGACATTTAAAGGGCCTTAAACATGTGCCTTGTAGGGGAAATAGGTAGTCGTGACGTAAACTGTGTGGGACATCAAAACAAAGAAGATAGAGTGCTGTAATGGGCTAATCGCTTTAGCAACCACAGCCGAGTAAGCTGTGGTTGAGGTATACTGTGGGTTCATACAAAGATGAGCAACTTTTATCTGGCTCTGAATCAGACATGCCTTGCCTCTGACGTAGCTGTTGTGGAGAAATCAGTCTTGACCTGTCTTATTGAGGGGAGGGAGCGCAGCGCTGCAGCTCCAGCGTCCAACACAGCCCCGAATCTAGACCAGTTTAGCAGGGGGACATTGGCTTATTTGGGGGGGGGGGGGGGGGGGGGGGGGGGGTGAAGGCAAAATGAATCTACGTATCAATAATAATATTACTCAAGTAAAAGAAAAAGGTACAGTGCAGTAAGCAGTACTACACACTTTTGAACATGGATAACATCAGGATACTTGTTAACCAGCTTAACATGCTGTATTGGTATTAGATAGTCATCTTTTAGCTAACATTACCTGCATCCAACACCATTATTCAACTCAGTTGGTTAGTTTGGGGGGGTTGGGGGGGAACTGTGCAAAGTTCTTTGTGTTTTGCTGGTTTGCTTCCATGATTGTAACACAAACCTGCACAGCTCTGCACAGCATGTTTCCGCACAGGGGTAAACCCAGCGTGAGCATCTTAGCACTCATGTTGTGTTTAAAGGCGGCCTCGGAAAAACACGTCACGACTTGTTAACGGTGGATAACGGCTGAAAAAACTGACAGAGAGCACATGGAAGTGCGGAAGCCCCGACTGTATCAAATCGACTTGAGAGTAACAGAAAGTTGGCCACTTTGAGGTAAAGATAAAAAACAACTTCCAGTCC